TCTATTCATCAAAAATATTGGTCTTTAGTTTTATTTTTGTATGTGTGTTATCCGTGGCAGGCTTTGGCACCAGGGTGATGTTGGCTTCATAAAATGAGTTAGGGAGTCTTGCCTCTTCTTCAGGTTTTTGGAAGAGTTTGATTAGGACAGGTATTAAATCATCTTTGAGCGCTCGGCAGAATTCACTAGTGAAGCCATCTTGTCCTGGACTTTTGCTTTTGGGGGAGATTTTGGAAGACTGTTTCAATTTCCTCACTCTTGATCGGTCTATTTAGATTTTCCCGTTCTTCGTTATTCAATCTAGAAAGGTTATATATTTCTAAGAACTCGTCCATTTCTTGTAGGTTATTGAATTTGGTGGCATATAGTCCTGCATAGTGTTCTTGTATGATCCTTTTTATTTCTGTGGTATCCATCATAACTTCTCCTCTTTCATTTCTGATTTTGTTTATTTGTGTCTTTTCTCTTTTTTCCTCAGTGAGGCTAGCAAGGTTCAAAGAGAATTTTATGAATTTGACCTCAAAGACAAGGGAAGTAAAAGCAAAAATAAATGAATGGGACTATACCAAACTAAAAAGCTTCTGTACAGCAAAAGAAACCATCAACAAAACAAAGAGGCAACCAACCAAATGGGAGAAGATATTTGCAAACAACATCATCGATAAGGGGCTAATATACAAAATATATAAAGAACTCATACAACTCAACAACAACAACAAAAAAACAATTAATCCAATTAAAAAATGGGCAGAGGACCTGAACAGACACTTCTCCCGAGAAGACAAACAAATGGCCAACAGATAAATGCAAAAATGCTAAAATTCACTACCTCTTAGGGAAATGCAAATCAAAACCACAATGAAATATCACCTCATACCAGTTAGAATGCCTATTATCAACCAGACAAATAATAACAAGTGTTGGAGAGACTGTGGAGAAAAAGAAACCCTCATACATTGTTGATGGGGATGTAGATTGGTGCAGCTGCTATGGAAGGCAGTGTAGAGGTTCTTCAAAAAATTAAGAAACAGAATTACCATATAACCCGGCAATCCTTATGGGTATCTACCGCCCAAAATCTGAAAACATTTATCCATAAATATATATGTGCCCCGATGTCCACTGCAGCATTATTTATGGTGGCCAAGCCATGGAAACAACCAAAATGTCTTTCAACAAGATAATTGGATAAAGAAGATGTGGTACATATACAATGGAATACTATTCTGCCATTAAGAAAAGATGAAATAGTATCATTTGCAACAACATAGATGGATCCTGAGATTATCATGCTAAGTGAAATAAGTCAGACAGAAAAAGCCGAGAACCATGTAACTTCACTGATATGTGGGATATAAACTGAAAGTAGCAAACGAACAAGACAAACAAATGAAACAAAAACTCATAAATATAGACAATAGCTTAGTGGTTACCTGAGGGTAAGGGGGGAGGGGCGATGGTAGAAGAGGGTAAAGGGATCAAATATAGAGGGTGCCAAAAAAAAATGTAGACACATTTTAAGAAAGGAAAATACTGTATTAAAATTGTAATAATAGGGCCGGCCGAGTGGCGCGATGGTTAAGAACTGGCTTGGGACACCAGAGGGCCCCGGTTCGGATCCCACATATGAGGGCCAGTGACACTGCCCTCTACAGCTAAGATGCTGAACGACAGCTCAACCTGGAGCTGGGCTGCTGTGAGTCGCTGGCAACGGCATAGGCTGCAGTCCCTGTGGCAGTGGGTTGCCATGGGCTACCGTGTGTAGCCAGCAGCCAGCGTGAGCGGCCAGCAGCCGCAGTGAGCGGCCGTCCAGAAGCCAGCGACTGGTCTGCCTCGCCTGGGAAGAGCGCAATGATGGTGCCAACTTGGGTCAGTGAAGCAACGTCCTCCACAACTAGACTGAAGAACAAAACGACAGCAACTTGTCTGTTCCCCTCCCCCAAATCCCCAGCGCTGTTCCCATCCCCCAATTCCCCAATAAAAATCTTAAAAAAAAATTGTAATAATATATACCAATAACAAAAGACGAATACAAGTCATGTGTATACACTTTTTTCGCACCCCTGGTACATGTGATGGAAGGAGAACTGACTCTGGGTGGTGAACACACAAATGTGATTTATAGATGATGGATTACAGAAGTGCACACTTGAAACCTATACAATTTTATAACCAATGTCAGCCCAATATATTTAATAAAAACCAAAAAAATCTTATACATCCTCCTTTCCATTCATCCTGACTTTGCTTCTCCTATTCATCTTCTTAACCACGTGATGCCAGCAGCCTCCCAAGTAACTTTCTTGAGTGAAGACACTCTCCTATTTCTGTCTATTGGTTAAGAGTGGTAACAGTGGTAATTTTATTTAAGTGTTTTATTTATATCTCAATTCACTGCTCAAAGTCTTACTAGGCTCTTCCAAGTTTTGATTATAGATCTAAATTTCAGGATTTCTAGGTTTCTTCTAGTTTTTCCTTTTCTATTTATACAAACTCATGTTGAATAGTCCCCAATGAGAGAACTCTGCTTAAGCAAGGTCCCTCAAAACACTTCCTCTAGCTCTGAGTGCCTTTGCTCATTTTCTCCTTTCATCCTGTGGGATGACATCTCTTCCTCCTTATTTTGGGGTAAATCTTAATTACTCTGCAAGTTCCACCTTGTTTATGAAGCTTTTTTACTAATCAAGGTAGCTCTAATCCTAATAAAAGCCCAAAGTATTTATGGTAATTAATTCAAAGTGACAAGTAAATACACTCAGATTTTTACTGCTCATTGTTTTAGGGGCTTTTGTGTTGCCTTCTCGATTAGTTTTAACGGTGACAAAGACCTTAAAAAATGACCCACAGTGCCTGGCATAATGTTCACTGGACTTTCTAGAATAGCCACATAAGGAATGCTTTGAGGGTGGTCTATTTAAAGTAACCATAACCTAAGGGTCATTTCATCATCTTTTTTCCCCAAGAATGGCGACCATGGCGTTGTTCTTTCAATTACTTAGGGTACTGCCTGCTAGGACTGGAGAAAACTGAGTTCATAGTAGATCCATCCCTTAACCTGCAGAATGGAGAAGAAAAGCACTCTCTATGCTCCCAGATTTGTATATCTGTACTTTTCTCCAAGACCATGAGCTCATGCAGCAGCTGCCCCTTGTCTTACGCATCTTGGTTTCCCAGCATTGTCTGTAGCTTTAGTCAGAGCTTGACGAATATTCATGGAGCGTGTGACTGGGATGTTTCCAGCTAGGACTACTGACACACAAACACAAAACCAGAGTCCGTCCTGATGTCACTCTTTGGGCCCCTCTGAACACCTTCAGTGAGGGGAGTACCTCCCCTTCACTGGTGTTGGTGACACAACCCTCTTCTGAGTTAGGAGTTCAAATATCCAGTTACAGACAAAAATCGACCAAACAAAAAACAACCAAAGAAACTTGACTGAAACTCAAAACTTCCCTTTTCCTCTGGAACTGGTTGAAGATTAAAAGATATGGCCAATTAAATATTTGGGGTTGATGGTACTTCGTGTTTGTGTCCCTTCTCCCCTTCTGATTCTTATTTTTTTGTTTGCACTGGGGTCTACAGAGAGGGCGGAGGAATAAGGTTCTCAGATGTCTTTAGCTGTCAGGCACTATTATATCTTTTTTGCTCTCTGGAATTAGCTGATTTCAAGGCTCTCATTTTTTCTTGTGGGCATATGTGTGGGTTCTTGGCTAGTTCACTTCTCTCCTGAGAAAGGCAGGGTGTGTCTCTCGTTTGAATGGAAACTCTGAAATCTCTTCAGCTCCCACTCCTGGGGGTAAGGGGCAGAGAGGGAGGCTGACTGCAGGCTGCTGTCTTGGGCACCAATGGGTTTAAAATAGTCTCAAGCCAACACGGATGTGCGGGGCTCATAATGGAACTCCCACGGGGGTGCATGTGACTTTGTCCTGAGGTTGGAAGGAAGTGAGATGAACTCCCAGACACTGCCTTTAGCATTTTAGCATCGTCAGGAGAGGGGCCGGCCCACCTAAACTTAAGCAACACACATCCAGCATCAAGAAGGGTACTACAGAGCAGGTTGAAGGGGGTGCTGTGAAAATAATAGCGTCCATCATTGATGTCACTTCTTACGCCTGTTATAGCACATACAAAACATAAAAACATGTATTGATACAAATCAGAATTATAGGAGAAACAATAATGTTGTCTATAAATGAATAAAAAGAGGTTCCACATCTGACCTCCCATTAAAAAATAAAGTCCATCGATTTGTTAGGAGAAGCAAAGACTGTTCCAGTACACGAAGCTGGGGTTTTTATTTTTTTGTTTTGATGGGTTTTAACAAAGTGATGTTAAAGGATGAAGTAGTCCACATTTACCACACCGTCCTTCCACTTAATGAAATTGCAGCTGTAAGGACATTTTTGTGCTGTGTCCTCAACACAAGCTGATGCTATAGCATCGAAGGTGAACTTGACTGCCGTTTGGTACTGGCCAAGGAAATGTCCAAATAAGCAGAGCACACAAGTTTCTGATGTTTTAGAAATCTAGAAGGTGGGTGAATGACCTCTTCCATGTATCCTGATTAAGTTAATTGTTCAGACTGGGTTTGATGAGAACTTGGGTCAGAGGTACTATGGAATTATTATTATTTTTTCTGATAAGTAATTACCATTTGCCTTTCTCTGATATTGAAAGACTGTGGATCTACACACTTTAAGGATTGTGAGAGGAGAACAGAGTCCACATCCTATATTTGCGAGATATGGATTCTAGAGGAGACGGATTTGGGGGGTAGACGGGGGACAAATAGACTAATTGCTAGGGAGAACCAGAGAATGAAGAGAAGAACAGGTAAGCAATTTATACTCCATATCAGGAAGGTGGATATATATAACTACCAATGTTCCCTGGTTCTACTCCTTAAAACAAAACCAGGAAAACAATGCACGATTTGACTTCCATGACAAGAAGTTATTAAATGTATGCCATGTCTCAGAACCTCTTTGGTCTTACCATTGCTGACTTTTACAGCAGAAATCAAACATCTTTCACAGCAAGACAGCCTCAGCAGCACCAACATTCAGAAACACCACCAGTTTTGTAGGGTTGAATGCATCGGGGCCCCTAGGAGAGCACAGAGAAAGAAAACGGTTAATTAGGAGGAGTTGTTGATGGGTAAGCTTGCAATCACAGCAGGATGTGAGGTTAGCAGACATGGTAACAAAAATCTCCGTGAAGGACGGTAGCACGGCCATTGTTTGCAGTGGGGCTCTATAGAGTTGCTTGTATTGGAGCAAACATATTGGAAGCAGAAGACATCTCTAAAAATGACAATCGTTTAAATAGACACTTAGTGAACATGAAGGAAATGGAGAGAGTCTCACGTCCTGTGTGAAATAAAAAATAACTTATTTATCCAAAGTTATAGGTATAATTAGGATTTCTCTAGGATGGGGGAGCAGTTCCCTGATGTCAAGAACAGAACAAATTTCGGGAAAGATGAGTAAAACATGCCCATCTTTTTCAAGGTGGATCTAAAAATTAAGTTTCTCACTAGAAGGCAATTTTCCATAAACCTCTCAACATGGACTGACATACGTGTCTAGAACACTTGTTCTCAACTTTAAGAGACACAAATCCATAAGGATATAATAAAATTTTACATATTTTTCATATATCACTATTATGTAAGGCATTTAAAATATACCCATTATTCTAACACATGTATATCAACAACTCATAATCATGGTAATGATAGCTAACTTTATATACTCTTTATTAGGAGTGAGGCACAAACACTTTACACTCAAAATAATAACTCACTTAATTCTGAAAAGCTTCGTGAGTAGTTTTCATTGCCATTCTGCATAGACAGAAACTGAGACACAGAGAGATACCTTGCCTGAGACCGCATATCTGATAAAGGATGAAATATAAATCCAGCCTTCCTACCCATTATGCCATAACCTACCTATACACACATTAATAGTAATTAATTATAGTGACAATGTTCATTTCCTCAGTGAATACAAAGAATAAATAAATGGAAAGTGAGATGCAATAATATACCGTATTTCCCCATGTATAAGACGCACCCCTTTTCGAAAAATTTGGGGTCTAAAGACTGGGTGCGTCTTACACAGTGGTTGTAGATTTTTTTTACTTGCATTTCCCACTTTTTTCGTGCTTGTTTTTGCACTCATACAACCACTGTGTAAGACGCGCCCAGTTTTCAGACCCCAAAATTTTTGAAAAAGGGTGCGTCTTATACATGGGGAAATACGGTAACATGTATTTTCACCACATGACAAAACCAAGTGGTCCAAAGCTTTAGGGGGCAAATTGCTTGTGCCAGTGACTCCAATACTCTTGACCAGTGTTGGGATTTTTCTGAAATTGTTAACAACTCTTGGTAAGTTTCCATACAAATGAACTACAAATTTCCCTCTAATTACTTGGCAGCTGGGTTCCTGGAAAATTCAGGGTCTGTTAAAACTGTGTGAAAACAAAACAAAACTCCTTGAGTTTAGATATAAAATGGAGTTTGGTTCTAGATTCAGATAATTATTGAGAGCTTTTATGTAGAAGTGGGTACCTGGTGGGATGTTTCAAAGTTGTGTGGTAAATGGTAAAAATTTTTGATTTGTCTTTTGTTTTATTCTGTCTTGTTTCCATCTTGTGTACATTACTGAACTTTTTATCTTTCCTAGCTCCTGCCAACTAAATGACAGTCCTGATACTAAATTATATAATAATGGTAATCACAATGAAATCCCACAACCATTATAAAAGAATGAATGTTCTGAGGAATCTATAGATTGGGTTTGGGGTATCCTTGAACTCTGAAATTCTAGGCAAAATGTTGAGTACAGGTACATTCTCCGAGGGAATGCTACCACTAACTTTCACCAAATTCTCAAATCATGATTATCATCCATTCACACCAAAGTTAAGAACCGTTGATCTTGGGTAGTCCATGGCATTCTAGACTATTTTTTTTTACAATCATTTGTTTTTCCTATTTGGTAACCACTCTTTTTGGCTTTTATGGCACTCTTCTTGCATGGTCAAAACTTACAGGATTTCTCCTGCTGCCTCAGCATCCTTTATAATTTAACATTCATCAGAGATTACTTTTATTTAATTTTTAGTTAACTATGCTATTGCTCATAGTTGCATTAAAATAAGCGAAGACAAGTTGAATAGAGCTCCCATCTGACATTCCAGAGCCTGCTGTGATTGTGTCCGGCGGCATGTGTGATAAGAGCTGGTCTTGAAAGTTGTTGCTTAAACATGTGGTTACAAGTGACACACAAGCAGCATCATTTTGTTCCCGACTTGTTCCAAGAACAAAGTAAGGAACACTACCCTTCCTGGGCAGCATGCAGGATGCTCGCTGACAATGCAAATGGCGTTGGGCCAGAAGAAGCTGATACCACTAATTCTTTCTCTTCTCTGATGATGGTGGCCAGTTGTACCAACCATATGATGAAGCAGCCAGTTGAGACATAGCTGGTGCCGCTACCCAAACATATGTGATGGCATCAGGGCAAGGTTCAGTGTAGCAACAGGACATTATTGGTTCGGTGTATAGTAAATATGTGCTGAAGAAAAAAAAACTCAGTAGTCCCACCTTAATGTGTATAAATAATTGTTTGACTGTCTTACCATTGCAGAGTTCTTCTTCATGCTGTAGTATAAATCTACAATTATTTATGTTTGCATTTGAGGAAACATGAGCATTTGTGACAAAACCTTTTGACAAAAGGAGCTTCAAAAAAAAGAGAACATGATGAATAAAAAATAAGAATTCAATGTTCATTTCTCAAGAATCCTGAAGCAGAAGTTGTAACCCGCCTTGAAAAGTCTGTCAATGTTTATAACTCGGCACAAATGGCAAATTACGGTGAAAAGCAGAAAATGCAAATCTGCAGAAGTAACAGCCTTGATTTCAAAGATTAGTAGCATTTTGACAGCCCGTGACCACAGACAATAATTTAACACATAGGGTTGCAGGAAGTGAACTTGAATGCCATTTTGGGAAGCTCCTTTCATTTGGAGCAATGCCAATTTGAAATTATTCTTTCTAAGTCCAAATTTTCTTGTGTAGGTTATTAAAAATGAATGAAGGCTGTTGGTATGTTGGCTCTTTTCGTAGAAAAATGTCGACTTCCAAGCTGGCGATCGACATCCGTTTTATAGTTGCATCGCCAGATGACTAGAATAGACTATCAATGAATTATCAAATGGTGCCTTTCTTCCTGCCAATTCATGGAATAAAAGGAGAGTTTTTCAAGACTGACTGTGAGGGCTACAATCTACATAGAAGATGGAATTATTTGTTTTGCAGTTTCGGCATCAACACAAACTTCTTGGGAAAAATTATGTTCTTCGCAAGTTGAGAAGCCAATGGGTCCGGTATGTATTATATTTGGGAGTAATTGTGGTCCAGGAGTCATTCATAATCGCAAGAGGGTAAACTGCTCTATCAAAATGTCTCCAAGTCAAGGCAGTCCCTGTCCCCAGTTACAATGTACATATCAGAGGCGCGATTATCAGAGTGCTTCTCAGAACTCTGGGGCCCCCAAGAGCCTATGAGGGTGCTCAAAACAGGAGACGAAAACAATTTGTGGAACATAAAACTGGGGGCATTTTTCTCAAAGTTGACATTTGTACTTAAGGTGCAAAATGACGGTGACTCGAACTACTGATGTCTCAGAACAAGTGAAAGTGGTGGCATCAAAGTATACTACTAGCCATTGTGTCATTCGGTGTCACACGTTCTCAGGGGCACAGGTGGAAAAAGATCACTCAGAAATGATCTTGATGAAACAACGAAACCTTTTATGAAGTCTCAACCGTTCAGTAGAGGTCTTGCTGACACGCTGCCCGATAAAACGCAGAATGTGTGTGAAGCATTTCTGCAGACAGAGGGACGCTGGCTGTTTGTACAGAAGTACATCTGCTGTGGCTTGAGTGGGAAGCTGAAGTGACTGCAGTTTTCCTGGAAAGACAAATGGACTTGAAAGAACGGCCACGGCAATTCAGAAGTGAATAGAGCAAGCCTTTCACTTCCAAGAAAAGTATAACAGTTGCCTGCTACAGGGAGCCCCCTGTACCTAAAATCTTTGCACGTGGGGTCAATGATGTTATCAGCAAATGTGGTTTGGACCACTGTGAATCAAGCTGCTCTAAACATCCACGAGGATGTAAATTTTCAACATCCCTGGACAAATGTCAAGGAGAAGCATGGTAAGAGTGTGTTTAATTTTATAAGGAAGTGACCAACTGGTTTCCAAAGTGGCCATATCGTTTTGCATCCTCACCAGCAAGGAATGAGAGCTCCTTTTGCCCCACATCCTCGCCAGCCTCTGGTTCTAGTAGGTGTATGGCGGCCTCTGGTTTTCATTCTTAGGGTTCAAACACAGCACCCCATCCTGTCCAGGCTTTGTAACTGCATTTGGTGGGAGAGTTGGGGTACAATGCATTGTCACCTTTTGTAATAGGCTGAGTTGCACTTCCTTAAAATGCATGTCCTAGCCCCCAGGACCTCAGAATGTGACTGTATTTGGAGACGGGTCTTTAAAGAGGCGATTAAGGTGACATGAGGTCACTGGGGTGGGCCCTGACCCAATAGGACTGTGTCCTTATAAGAAGAGGAGGTGAGGACACAGACACACACAGAGGGATGGTCACGTGAGGACATGGGGAGCAGACAGCTGTCTGCATGCCCAGGAGAGATGCCTCAGGGGGGACCAGCCCTGGGACACCCGGATCTCGGACTCCAGCCTCCAGAGCTGTGATAAACTAAAGTTCTGTTTTTAAGCCACCAAATCTGTCATATTTTCTTATGGCAACTCAAGCAGACTAATATACCATCTTATCCAGAACCAGAATGCAAGAAACATTTTTCTTAATGATGAGTGTGTCTGTGTATGTAGAAAAACATTTTAACGGAATAAATGTATAGCCTCAGCAACTCAGGAAAAACATTTTAAATGGTTAGTCAGTCATTTATATAGAGTACGTGACACCTTTTCTCTGAGAGTCCCAAGGCATGGGGATTTTACATAATGGCATTAATCACTGATTAAAATTGGAAAGTGTTGCTTTAATGTTTAATA